TAGGGCAATTCCAAGCACAAGTAAAGGCTGAGTGGATAATGGATTGAGAGCAGTCCTGGGGAGAAGGACTTGGAGGTCTTGATGGACAAGAAGCTTGACATCTTGGCAGTGTGTGCTTGCAGCCCAGAAAGCCAATCATATAAAAAATAATCAGCATCAAAGGCTGCATCAAAAGAAGTGTGACAAGCAGGTCAAGGGAGGGGATTCTCCCCCTCTACTCTTGTGAGACCCCACCTAAAGTATACTGTGTCTGGTTCTGGGGCCCCCAACATAAAGATGTGGACCTGTTGGAAAAAGTCCAGAGGAGGGCCTGGATCAGAGAGCTGGAGCACCTCTCCCATGAAGACAGGCTGAGAGAGTTGGGGCTGGGCTGTTCAACCTGGAGAAGGATTAGGGGTGACCTTTTTGCAGTCTTCCAGTACCTAAAGGGAGCCTACAAAAAGACTGAAGAGGGAGATTTGACAAGGGTATGCAGTGATAGGATAAGGGGTTATGACTTTAAGCTGAAAGAGGGTAGATTCAGATTAGGTATTAGGAAGAAATTCTTTACTATGAGGGTGGTAAGGTACTGGGAGCAGGTTGCCCAGAGAAGACTTGGATGCCCCATCCCTGGAAATGTTCAAGGCCAGGCTGGATGGGGCCCTGAGCACCCTTGTCTAGTTGCTGCAACACTGACAAAACATACCTTTTAAAAAGTATAAGCTATCCAATATGCTGTTTATTTTCTTTTTTTTGATACTTAATGGAGTCAAATATTTTTAGATTGATTATGTAAATTGTTGGGGCCTGGCTAGCAGAGGAGCTGTAACTTGACCAACAGTTAAAGGAATGTTTAAGCAATTAAAAACAAGACACACAAAATAGGTCTTGCTGACCTTGTTTCTATCTTCATGCATTCCTGTGTTTTCTATCCAACACCTTATAATGGTCTTGTTCTCTCCTGCTGCCAGGGTGTTTAGGTTTGGTTTTCGTCTTACTGCCTTATAGATAAGTTGTTTTGCTAACAAGCTAAGAATAGTGCTGTTATTTAGATTGTCATAGACACTATGTAGTTCTTGCTATCAGTTTCCCAGGATGTGAGAGCGGGATGCAGCTTAAATTTGTAACCTATCATAAGTAAGAATTGTGCGCATTGACAAGTTGAGCAACCAATCCAAAGTTGTGTGATCAGTGCGTAGCTGCATGTACGGGAGACTTTTTACTATGAATACTGTTAGGTGCCCTAAGTAAAGTTGGCTATCAGAGCATCATAATAGTGTGCTGTAGTCCGTCCCTCACAAGAACCCCAACAGTAAATGATCAAAAGACATTCCTGACACTGTACCATTTCAGGAAGTGTTTATAAGTCTTACATGACAAGACAGTCTCATTCTTGGAAAGAAAATCTTAATGGGTAAACTTTAAGGATGATCTAGTAATCTTATTTCTCCTATATTTCAAAGCCTGTTTCACAATGAAACAAATTACAAACAAACTCTGAAGAATGAAAAACTGCCCTTAAAGCTTTTTTCTTCTGGCTTTTAAAAAATAGAGCTTTACATTCACAGTACAGTAAATAAAAATAGAGCATTTGTTAACTAGATGTTTACAAGTTCAGGACAGCAGGAACTTTCTACTAGCAAAACTAGCCAGCCTGTCTGTTCAGGGTTAACAGTAAACTAAACATTCCATTCACAAAACATAGATAACTGTTTATTTTTAAAATACAAAGGTTACAAAATGAAATTGCTATATGGTGCAAATTGCACCATGAAACCATAAAAATGGTTATGTTACATGGCACAAAAAGTACTTTCTAGTGTGTTTTACCTGAAAGTAATGTTGAAAACATGCAGCATTTAGAGGGAAAGTTTTTTTTTCTGTTCAGAGACAAAGTTCCTAGTTACTCTGATCTGATCAGTTTAAGTTACTAATCTTCTCTACAGGGACACTTGTCTCAAAACTCAGTAAGAAATCTCAGTAACCACCACCACTCAAAAAAACCCCAGTATGAACTCTTAGTCCAAAATAATAAATATACCTACCTGTGTTTTGAATGTGATCTTTTCCTTCTAGATCGGGACTTTGAACTAGACCTGGATTCTGAATGAGAATGGGAACAAGATCGAACGCCTTTTCTTTCACTTCTCTTTCCAGAGTCTGAGAGGAAAAAAACACTCTGCAGTGTAAGCTCAGAACACTTAAAGAACCCAGTTAACAATCTGGCACAAGTGGAATGTACCACACATATGGTGCAAGAGGCCTATGCTTTGCACATCCTCCTTCTTTGCAAATATCCTCGAGAAACATCCAAGAAAGTCACTGCATATATTTGTCGAGTGCAGCCATCCTGCAGCAGTACACATAAACCAGATAATTATAAGCAGCTAACTTTATTAGGAATGGGATTTATGTTGCTGCCACAGTGCACAACATTCTCCTCTGATATATTATATAACTACTTTTTTAATAACCTCAGAAGAATAGGATAAATTTAGAGGACAGAGTTCTGAAAACAAGCATAAAATGTAAATAATAATTAGTACTTTTCATACTCTTAAATATTCCAACCACTGTACAAATATTGAAGTTCTATTCCTCAAACACTGTTTTGGGGGGAGGGCAAAGGGATGAAGAAAAAGGGAGTAAAAGGTTTGATCCAAAGGCTAAGAAGTCAACAGAAAGCTTACAAGTGACCTCAGCATTTTAGTTCAGACTCCAAAAGATTATTATTTTGCTGCTTAACACTGAGGAAGTGTTAGAGCTGTTTTTCTCCCAA